TAAAAGAATTTGAATTTTAAGGTGTCATACTTTATGTTGCATTAAAATAATGTCTGCTCCTAAAAGAATATAAAATTGGAAGTTACATGTTATTAGAAAGATTTTTTGGTTTCAAATACATAAAAATGTATCTCAAAAATAATACGTCAAAAAGAAATCACTTGAAAACTATGCTATCTATAAAAGAAATGTTAATTTACCTCTTCAGATTTCTTCTTTAGCTGTTTTTCAAACTTTTCCTTATTTCCTTCCAATTGACTCAAATGCAAGGCAAGTTCTTCCTTACAAATATCCAATGCTGAATCTAGTTGTCTGACCTAAGCAGGAAAAAAGTGGGGGAAAATAAAAAAGGAAAATCAACTAATATTAAGGAATGCTTATTATTATTATATGCTCAATAATGTTACCTCACTGCTTCAAACAGTGAATATTCAGTCCTACTTAGGATATAAAATGCTGTTACAGAAGAAATTTATTGAGAAAATTCATTCTTCACTGCAAACTAAAGAACCAAAGAGGAAACCGGGGAATGGAACCCAGAAGAATAAACAAGAGTTGAAGAAGTACCGAAGGGCATTCCAGGAAGCGGGAGTATGCTCAGAAGTAAGACACTGTGAAAGGGGATGGTGAGAAGTTGGCAAGAACTTAGGGTATTAAGAGTATGAATTTGTTGGATATGGTTATTTGGGAGCTAAGATTGACAACATAGACTGGGGACAATTGTCAAGAATCTGTAGGCCAAACACCCTAAAACACTTTCTTTAAAAGGTAAGTAGTGTTTGAGCCTATGTCTTAAGCCACCTTGACTAAGAAAAATAGGAAAATCGGTACAAACTAGTGTATTGCTAACAATGCTAAGGAGAAAATATTTTGAAATGCTGAAGTTATTAAGAAAATGAAAATTTTTTGTCAGCTAGAAAAAAAACTCAGAAGGCTTCTTTGCTTTGAATCAGTGAAAACATTTTCAGAAAGGTAGCACTTTAACTTGGTTCAAGTGTTCATACAGCTATAAATGGTTTATACTATCAATATTATAGAGCAGCTCAAATTCAGTAAGTTTTTCTTTCAAAAAGTTAGTTTAAGGCCCATAATTTGCATACATGCTCCATATCCTATCTCTCAGTAAGATTCTTGTTTTGTTCTTTTCTTTTACTTATTGTAATTCTGAGCTTCTTAGGGGTGTTTTTTCTCTTAATGCTAATAACATTCCAGTAAGTAGTCTTGCAAGTGTGAAAGAAATCTCAGCACCGAGAAAGAAAGATACTGCAGATACTATTTTACATCATGAAATTATCCTTGCAACTCTTATTTCTAAAAAGGGAATGTTGTAAGATACACAGTTTTCCAAGATTGTCCCTATAGCCTGTGCATGCAACCATTAACAGCTAAAAAGTTTGTAAGTCTGAATGACTTTGTTAATAAACTGTTGCCCTAGTAATAATTTTTTTCTTTTTTTTTTTTGGTTTTTTTTTTTTTTTTGAGACAGAGTCTCACTCTGTTGCTCGGGTTAGAGTGCCGTGGCATCAGCCTAGCTCACAGCAATCTCAAACTCCTGAGGTCAAACGATCTACCCGCCTCAGCCTCCCAGAGTACTAGGATTACAGGTATGAGCCACCACGCCCAGCCCTTAGCAATAATTTTTAAATTAACATTTGCTTTATGAAGGTATAAATAAGTTTTCTTTCTTAAACAAGAGAATGGGCATTGGTGCTTGTATCATCTTCCACACGGAGAGAAAAAAATAAAATCTATGATTATGTCAGAATTCACTACCTGATAATTAACAACATAGTAACTCATTTAGTCAGGCAAGGTTAATCACTAGATGTTAAAACCATTGGTTATAAGGTTATTAAGGAACAGGACATTCACATGGCCTCAAAGAATCACCCCAAAATATGCTTGCTAATTACCAACTCCACTTTTACCCCTTAAATCTATTGAAATAAAAATAAAATTATTGATTTCTTGTTACTTGTTGAGAACTTTCTTATGAACTTCTCATTCATTAATCATACTTTTATAAGTGATACAATTTTAAGCTGATCCGTATAACTCTTCTATAGATAATTTCTATTTCTTTTGCAGAAACCAAATTGAGGCACACAGAGAGACATGGACCAAAGTCCTGAAAGGAAGGTGGTAACGACATTATCAGGAGCAGAGAAGTAACTTCAGACTTCTATTTTTTTGATAAAATGATTTTTTTTCCTTTGGGTAGATACTCAGTAGCGGAACTGCTGGATTGAATGATAGATCTACTTTTAGTTCTTTGAGGAATCTCCATACTGATTTCTGTAAAGGTACATATAGTCACAAAATGGGTTAAAACAGAATACTGGCAAAAAGGTAAATAATAGCATATATTTTTTAAAAAATCTTTTATATTCAAGCTGTATATGACAGAATAAAGGTAATAGCATGTTTGGACCTATTTTGACACTAAAAATGCAAAGGAGAAAATACTGAATATGTAGCAATTAGTTACAAAACTTTGGGTAACTTTGTGTGTACTAAACACTTTATATACCTTATTTCATTTAATCTTCACACTATTGCTCTTCTAGGGTATTGTTATCCCTATTTTACAGATGAAGAAATTAAAGTTCAGTGAGCTTAAATAACCTGGCCAAGGTTACAATCAGCTTTTTTTTTTTGAGACAGAGTCTCACTCTCTTGCCTGGGCGAGTGCC